TTGTGAAATTCGTATATCAACTGAATATTCGCGAAGACGATTCGCTCCTTCCCTTTCATGTCTTCGGGCAACTCCATACACTGGATTTTGTTGATGTAACCCTAAAGCGAACGACTGTCATATTCACACCAAATCAACTGAAAAAAATTTCAATTAAAAGCAGAACAGCGGTAGAAGACAATCGATTTTTTAGTATCTCACAACCATCGTTACTCTGCTGCTGCTGCTGCTGCGGCTGTACGTTGGCCGTGGGAGGTGCATTTGTCCGGCTCATTTGTCGCAGCCTAACATACACTACAACGGGCTGATATTGCTTGTCGATTTAGGAATACACTGGCAAAAATGTCCTAATTTTGAACACGCTTTGAAAACGACCAATGATCCGTGAAAAACGAGAAGATGAAGGTATTTCCGACGTCTGATCAAGTTATTAATCATGTCGGCAGCAAGGTGACGATTCGAATTACATCGTTTTGGAAGGAAACGCAGAACGCCACCGGTAAACACCACAAAATAACTGGCTGGACCTCGCACACGGAGTTCTTCCTGCTAAAGTCCCATTTTCATTGCCACACAACGCTAAATGGACTGTGAATTGGACGGCCCATCACTTTGGCAAGTTTAGCGGTGACTGGAAAATTTGAGACATATGCCAGACTAAGATCGACGAGGCTTTGAGACATCAAGCCCTTTGGGCAACATGACGAGATATGGCCAAGACACCCAAGAAGGAATGACAACAGAGGCTCAAGCTCCAAGGAGGCATAAACCTATTTTTTGTCTCATTAACATAGGAGAGCGGAACAGCGCAACAGATAATTATCTCGATGAATCACGAGAAAATTAAATGGTCAGGGAACACCGCTGCAGAAACGAAAATGTTTTCTATTCTCGAAAAACGGCATTCGTGCACTTTAAGGAAGTTCTCAAATCACTACGCACTTCCACTGGTAATGCATGGACGTGATACACGTACCACAATCTTTAAAGCTGCTTAAAAAATACAACCCAAGCGACGAAGCATGAAAAGCCATACGTTTAAAATACCAACACAAATAATCGACGAGGGAATCAATAAGAATACAATCAGACACATTCGATATCAGTGCAAGAATGAAGGATTTAAAACAGCGGGGAACTCGACATGCTGCAGAACTAACAGACAGCAGCCGGCAGGAAGACGTCCGGACAAATGGAAAGATAAAATCAAGAAATTCGTTAGAGCAAGACGAATAAGACAGACTTTTAGGGCACAGACTCTCACAGCAGAATCTGAAAGCGACTTTCGTCCAAAAAAGTGAAGCGCAAAAGGCTGGAACGATCGTGACTGTAACTAACTAGGAAATGAACAGAAATCTATAGTAACATGAGCATAGTGTCAAGCAGCAGGCCCTACTCAACCTTTGATGACATCACAAAGTCTGTCTAAACATGAACTAAATAAACACTTTGCTAAACCTGAACCAAAT